CTATATTTATTATTTTTTATTATTAATTAAAACTAAACACTGTGTTCGCTTATGACCCGCGTTCGATCTATCGCTACAATCACCGTTGACCGTGGTCGGAAATCAGACAAAACTGGGATTTAATGACCAAACCAACAACAACAACAGCAACCGCAGCACAATAGCCAAACGCGAAACAATAAACTATTCTAAACCACTAGCAGTTGCGGCAGTTGCACGCATGCAAGTGGGGARCCAKTGCGCGCTGACCGCGTGGGTGGGCCGCCGCGCGTACGTAGAACCTCCACTTAAATATGGAAATAAATTAAATTCCGATGCGGCGCATTGCWGCGACTGGCGARCGTCGACTGCGYGTGTTTGCCATTGTTATTGCGTGCTGTTGGTGGTGTTGTTGCGCTAAAAATCAATCACGTACGCAAGCGAAAGTGATTTCCTAGACGCTTGCCAACACGGCAGGGTWGTATATGWATGTGTGCGTGCATTCGTRTTTGCTTTGTAGTTGTCGCACTGCCGCCTTCTAATTTAATTAAAGTTTATTTAATGTTTTCTCAAGGTTTTATACACCGCACACCAGCGCGGTATGCGCATACAAAGYGTTGCTTATTCAGCGCTTCCATGCCATTTCATTTTCAATTTACAAGCTGCTATTTGCAACAGCAGTGTATGCCACTCAGGCTCCTCAGCACAYACTGACGCTTTTGTAAGCMWATTGTTGTTGTTGTTGGTGTTGTGGCTGCAGTTGCAGTGCCATAAAGATCWTGGTGTTTCGTGTTCATATTAAGGCTGGCTGGTGAGGACGTAAARGCAGCTGTTTGATGTGCGTATGTGTGTGTGTGTGTGTGGYAGCAGCACTTGAGTGTGCAAACTTATTCTGACGACGTGATGTGTTTTGTGTTTATTATTGTTGYTGTTGTTGCGATTTTTTTATGACAGTTGCTGCCAAAGTGTTGAAAATCAATAGTCACAATTTKCACTGTTGCCATCAGCCTGATATCCGACACTCACGCCGGCAGCAGAGTAATGCAAAGCCACATACACACACAGGCACATATGTATATGCTCACCTACTCACCTACAAATGCCTGCACCTTCTTGAGCAGCATCGCAACAGCTCGATGAGCCTTTGATGAGCCTGGGATTGGAGATGTGCCACTGTGGCAGCAACAGCAGCAGACATGTGTGACATGTGGCATAATTCCGTACACACGCACACACACACATGTACAGGCTTGAAAATGCAAACCTTGCATAAGCATACTGCTGCACATAGTTACACTTTGCCACATGCAAGCTCAGTGTGTTATAGACCACTTTTCAACTTGCCTTCTCCACATTATTGCAATTTCTTTATTATTTATTTTCCCTTTTTTTTTTTTGTTTTTTGTTACCGCAAAGGATTTTCTGTGCCAGCGTTGATGGCTACCCTCTTTTTCCAATTCCGTTTCCAATTATGCAGATTATAAATAAATAGATATAACAGTGTTGCCACTTTTATGACACATTCGTGTCATATGTTATAGAAAGCACCGAAATATAATACATACATCTACATATTTACATAGAGCAGGGCGAGATATAATAACAATCGATAGTCTGTAAACTGGTGGAACCAAGAATTCGATAAGCTGAGGAAGCTRAACGCAGCCTACAGCGTAAGCAGGGAGGTGAAAAAGAAATTCGTCTCAGAAAAGCATTTYATAGTAAAACAAAAACCTGTTTGGAAAAGCTCTGTGAAGAAGCAAACTTAGAACCCTGGGGAACGGGAGACAAAATATACAGGGTTTGTCCAAAAAGTAATAGGACTTATTTTCTTCCGCCGCGACTGTGACTTCGCGTTGGCGCATCGACTGAATTCGGTACAGGGCGTTCCTAGCTCACGAACGAACAGCTGGTCAGTTGTATTCGAGAACCTGGAGAGTCAAGACAAACATTTTCGGGCGACATGTTTCTGTGAACAGTGCAAGCTCAAAATGCAGCGATCGTTAGAGCAAAGGTACGCGATTGAATTCTGTGTGAAACTCGATAAATCATCGACAGAGACATTTGATATGATCAAGCAGGTTTCCCCARATGTTGCTTTAACAAGAAGTGGCGTGTTTCGGTGGCACCAAGCCTTTTTGGAGGGCCGGGAAGAGGTCGCCCAAATAAGGGAAAAATGTGCAAATCCAAAATGAAAACGATGCCCATTGTCTTTTTTGATAACAAAGGCATCGCCCACCATGAATTTGTTCCTCCTGAACAAACCGTCAAGGCCAAGTTGGCCGATGCAAGACAAGCATTTTGAGACGACAGAGGAGATCCAAGCTCAGCCTCGGTTCTCAAGGCTATTCCGGAGAATGCCTTCCGTGACGCCTTCTATGCTTGGAAAACGCGCAGAAGGAGGTTATTTTGAAAGTTTTTAGAGWATTGTAAGAATCGCTTCAATACATTTTTCTAAAGCTAAACATCTGGTTGATCTCCGGATCAAATGAAATGACTGCATAAATGGTTTGCGCCGATGGTTGCTATCATGAGTATAGAGCTGGCCGAGCAGAAAAAGAAGTAYTGCTCATATGGTCCAGGAAAATTGAAAGAATAGGATAATGTCAGATTACTAGACTACTACTACTCTAGAATGATGGCAAATAAAGAATGTGTGTGTTTCAGACTGATTCTGGACAAATATTCGTGGATAGATAGACAACATGGTTTCTGGATTTTCACCCAACCCAAAATACTCAGTGGCCATGGGTGCTTTAGAAGTTATCTATACAAATATCTTTATGACTTTAGYCAATATTGTCCGACGTATACAAAGTGTATAAAAGACTCTGAACACGTACTCTATCATTGCCCTCAGTTTTCAAGCATAAGGGAAGAGCTGAAAACCACACTTGGAGCTAGTCTCACGGTGGAAAATTTTACTGCATTTATGTGCGAGTTTTCAGTAAAATGGAAAGTTGTCGGCGAAGAACTTCCCGTTACAATTAAGAGCTCACGTTTAGAGAGGCACTCTTAACGGTGGCTTAGCACTTATTTCACCAAAAATAATCGAGTTTTTTGCTAGCTAARTTTTTGTTAGCTAAATTGTTTTTGTTTTGCAGCGAAGCGTACTTTCATTTTACTTTTTACTTTTGCTAATMAATTTTTGAAGAGCCAAAGGACACCACGTTTTTACTCCGCAAACTCACCAGCTAAGTTAGTGTTTACATAAATATGCATAGGTATGTATGTATGTATGTGCATGTAACTGAAATTACGTTTGCATAAGTATTTGAAAGAAAGTGGCGAAAAGACTCAAGTAGTTAATGCTGCAACTAGAGAGAGAGAGAGAGAGTAATGGCGCTGCAAAGGGATATCAAAAACAAATATTTCTCTATAAACYGAAATTTTAAATGAGAAAAGGCTTTTAACAAATATTAGTTGTATTTCCGTGGGGACAAATTGACTTAACATTTGCAAAGTGAAATGAAATTAAGTGAAGCTGCAGAAAAACATGTTAACTGATGGGTGTTTTTTTTGGATGTGTGCTTTGCAATGAGGCAATATTTTTTCGGATTTAGTCTTCTTGACAGCCGTTTCTTGGTTTGTATATCATAAGGATCGATTAAGRAACATAATGGACCTCTATCCAAGCAGCTTCTGCTAATAAGTTTTCATAGAAACCATACATGGA